AAAAATCTGAAAAAACGATATGTTATGGAAAAAAATTAATTAAATAAGATTTGCCTGAGCATTACATATGAATTCCTTACCAAATTTGAAATAAAAATAAAATACGGAAAACAAATACTAAGAATATAAATAAATAAAAATAAATAAAAATAAAAAGAGAATTAAATTTAGTGAGTGCGCGAGCATGTTTTCGACACCGCCATCTCTGGCGATTTTTCATTTTTTTTTGGCATGAATAAATGCCATGAAAATTTACAGATGTGTACTTCACATAATACAAAACCCACCCAAAAAGTTTCAAAAAATAATAAAATTGTTTAGACCCCGAACTAAAGTGAAAACAAAAAGTAAAAAGTGAAACAATACGTGGGCGAGCACGTTTTGATACCGCCATCTTTGGCGATTTTTAATTCTTATTTGGATTAGCCAAATGACTTGAAAATGTACAGGCATGTACCTCACGTCATAGAAAACTCACAAAACAAATTGCAGAAAAAACTAATTATGTTTAGGCCCCGAAATAATTTTTGGCGGGGGCCGAACGCCGTCGGGTTCGGACCCCGTCTGGGACCTCGAACGCCCGTACGTACGGAGGTCCCCGGGCTGACCTTCGTACGTACGGGCATTCGGGGTCCCGTTCGTTGTCTGAACTTTATGGTGTTTGGCCCCTGGCAAAAACTATTTTGGGTCCTAAAAAGAAGTTTTTTTATTTGAATGTTTTTTTAGTTCTCTATGATGTGAAGTACATGCTATAAATTTTAAAGTGATTTTGCTAAGCCGAACAAAAATAAAAAATCGCCAAAGATGGCGGTGTCAAAACGTGCTCGCCCACTCACTATTTTGTTTTTTCCCATTTTTTACTTTTTGTTTTCAGTTTCTTGCGGAGTACGAAAAAAAAAATTATTTTCTGAAACGTTCTTAATGAGTTTTGTATTATATGAAGTACACATCTGTAAATTTTAAAGGCATATTGCTCAGTCAAATAAAAATGAAAAATCGCCAAAAATGACGGTGTTAAAAACGTCCTCGCTCACTCACTAATCTTAATTCTCTTTTCATTTTTTCTTATTTTTATTATGAGTTTTTTGTTTTGTATTTTATTTTTGTTTCAAATTTGGTAAGGAATTTGGATGTAATGCTCATGCAAATTGTGTTTAGTTTATTTTGCTCCATAACATATCGTTTTTTTCAGATTTTTTTGAATTGTTTTTTTTTTTTTTTTTTTTTTTTTTGGTCTGTGTTCGGCCCGAACGGCCGAACGCATCCCCGAGGGGTCCCGTACGTTCGGGCGTTCGGGTTCGGGCGTTCTGCTCGTCCTAAACTCACAAGCTGTACACACTCAGGTTGTCTGGCCCTTTCGAGGTACATATACCTTCCACTCCCCCTCTAAGAAAAAATCCACCGCCGACAAAATACTAACACCTCATAACTTACCTGGCTTTCACAGTTCCTACCTACCACCCCCCACTAAAGACACCCCATGTTTTTTTTACTCCATCCCCGACCAAGAACACCTAGTATTTGACCACATTTCTCCCCCCCCCCCCCCCCCCCCCCCCCAGACACCCGTGTTCCCACACAGTCACACGCTACCCCCTTGTCCTACACATACACTCCCCGACCCCAGTCCACAAGATTAAAGCAGCAAGCTTCGGTCCTGCACCCAACATACAAAACCCCTACCCCTGCCCCCAGCACCACCTAAAACCCTCCCTCACTAGCCACCTAGGACCGTAAGCCATCTTTGAAAAAATAGACACATACCACCACCTTGAAACCGACCCACCAATGCACATTCCCCTATATGCAACCAAAAAACCCACCAATAAGACAGAACTGACTAACCCACCCACACGACTCGGACAAATGACTGCCAAAAGCCACTCCCAAGCTACGGGATACGGCACCGTGACAAAATGTCGCCATGACCGGGAAACTCGCCGGAGCAAGACAAACACAAGCCAGCCCGCCATATCCCTGACACACCCTCCCCAATTTTTTTGTCCAAACACGCAACAAAACCAGGGAAAACACACAACCTACCAGACACGGCCCCCTGTACCTATTCTACCCCTCCCATACACACAATTCAGCACTCCCGAACGCCAATGGCCATACAACCATGGCGCCTTCGATCACCAAGCAGTATTCCCCATTCCCCTTCCCCCGTCCCCCTTCCCCCTTCCCCCTCCTATTAATACCTCCCATCATGGCAATTACATCCCAACCCCCCTTCACCACCCCACAATGCCACACCACACCCAAACCTCCCCAACTCCCCGCCAGACCCCGTTCACTACTCACATCATTATTCTACTTATTAGATATTCTCCCCCTCATGTCTGGCCCGGTGTCTGGTCAGGGGTACTCAAGGATGAGCAGGCAGCGGTAATCATTGAGTCAGTACTGACTCAGTACTCTTTCTCTTGAAAGTTTGAAGTGAACTGCCGTCCATACAAGTCTATTACAAGCTATCATTCCAGTTGGACAGTCATGATGAGGGTGTCTTATGTTCAGGGGAGGTCATAGTCTACACACGACGCTACAGTCATGATGACGATGTGTTCTGTTCAGGAACTTCATTGGAAGGTGAGTCTTCAAGTGTGATGATTGCAATTCAATGGAACAGGGCGCAGAAGGAATCAACAGGAATGTTATGGCTCAACCTCCGAGGCTCTTAAGGGTCTCTCCCCCAGAGTCCCCCTAGTAGACAGAAACTGGTTCTCAAAAACAAAAAGAATGTTCCGGTTCTGTGAGTGCCACCAAACGCTTTGGAATACAGACATCGGCTATCACACCTAAACGCTTAAGGTGCCCAGTAGGCCGTCACCCCACCGCGGCTCAAAAGTTCAGGGGGAAGAAAACCTGCACATAGGCAAACAGGGACTGATAGTTCTTGGCATACAAGAGAATTAAAGAGAAACGAGAATTTGGAACCCAGATACTTTGCTCCCCTTCATTGTGGTTGACCGAGGGTCCACAGGAGATTACTATGGGAGCTCCAAAACCAATCCCGAAGCGAAGATTGATTTTCCCGCAGTTCTTTTCATGTTTGCCTTCGGGTTCTCTTTAGGCACGAAGTGCAACCATCTAAACTCTATAAGCAACTTGTCAGAAATTATCTTAGATTTCTGGCATTATATTATAGTGGACTCCTTCCTGCGCCTTTGAGAACATTTATCTACGGACAAGCTATCGGTACCTTTATTTTATTTTATTTAATGGTAAGTCCTAGGTATTCACCACATTGTTGCAGTGTGATTGGCTGTCAATGCCGGACCAGTTGGACAGCACCTCCTCATCACACAATGAATCTCGACATGATTGGCTATTGGGCAGTGCCATGGGAAGAATCTCAATCCATGACAGTACAAGTTAAGACATTACCCATACTCAGCAACCACTCTTGTTGTCAATGAGAGTAATAGGTCGTTCCTTTCCCCTTGCTTCCGTCAGTCATACAGGTGCATAATCCATGCATTCTATGCACATGTCACATCAACTCCATCCTGAAGTTTCCTTAACCATTATGACAAATATGTACCATAAACATCAGCTTTGCCTGGTCCAACTACCACAAGCCATCAACATAGATATGGTTCAAGCCATGCACATACCTGTCCTCCTACTTCCTAATTCCACCCCCCCCCCCCTCTTCCTCCTTCTCTCCATGGCCCTACATCATTTCTCTTCCTCCTCTCAATTTCTCACTCCTCTATTTTTACCATAATTTTCTGTTCCTTTTGGCTGTTCTGAACGTTAGAATGCAATTAGACGGAGGCTAAGTTATCATCATCTTAAACTTGAACTGCTGAGAACAACTACCTTAAACTGCTGAGAACAACTACCTGTGGCCTTCACGACCTGGGATCTAATCCCAACGCTAGCAGTTCAGGCTGAGCAAAACAAGTCAAACCGAGATTCTGGGCCAGCACGGTCTGCTTCATCACCTTGTATCTTCCCAGGAAACATGTGATTAACTCTAAACCTCAAAATGGATGGTCAACTTCTCAGGTTGAAAAGAGGCTGTGGGAGGGCAAGCCAATGGAAGTGTGGGCAAGGACAAACAAGTATTAGGAGGAGAGACAAAAGAACTCTAGGACGATTGTGGACGAAAGGCACAGGAGGGAACGATAAGGAGTTCAGCCTTAAATGCAGGGTAGAGATTTGTTAATCCAAAAACTGCGGTACAAATTAGGAAATGAACTGAATTACGATACACAAAACAGGGGCCATGAGGGAGCATGAGGCCCACACGTGATATCAATTGGCAATGGGCAGCAAAAGCACGGCGAAACATATTTGGGGTGCGTGGGAGGTCAACTATGCAAACTGGAGCTCACGATTGTCTCGCATGGACAGGTTGAGAAATGCCCGAAGCATCACGAGTACCTCAATGCAATTTCACACACAAACCCTCTGGGCTCTGGGCCTGATCAGTTTCCAAACCAGAACTAACTCCCCGGGAAGGAATGTTCCAATCATTAATTCATTCCACAAGATATTGAATCCGAATACCACCATACACCCGTCAAAATTCTGCCAATCATCCAATCTGCAATTGCATAATTTGCATTAGTCAGTGTCACTCATCAACATGCATACAATTCCAGAATCCCATCTTCAATTGCATAATTTGTATTATGTAAGTCAGTGTCAACCAACAACAGTGTCACTCATCAACATGCATACAATTCCAGAATCCCATCTTCAATTGCATAATTTGTATTATGTAAGTCAGTGTCAA